TATCACAGTCTAGGAACATTTCACACTTTTTCTAGTCATAATTATATTATAAAAAACGAGACTTGTCTGAGTTCGACGTATTGAATAAAGAGATATAAGTTTTTACTTTTTAAATTTAAATTTTGTTTTATCCATGAAAAAACTTAGGTAATTATCAAACTTAAAACCAACTTTTTCATAATTTATATACACTCATCATTTATTTCGTTATAAAAAGGTATGACAAGAAAAACAGTTTAATAATGTATAAATAAAAAAATTTTAATTTACTTTTTGGTTTTCATTTTTTTGAAAATTTGATATTTTGTTTACTCATAGCATCTCCAAATATCATTTGACTTTAAACAAAAAGCAATATAGTGACCATTGAGTTGTTGTTAATTGTTTCCTGCAGAACCACTATAATATATTACTTCAAAATTAATACCATTTATTTTAATTTTTTTTTTTTTTTGTATTGCATTTAGTAACTATATAAATTTGCCCACGTAATTTTACTTAACTTTATATACTTCTTCAATATTGATTGAATTAGTTGATGTCGTAAGATCTGGAAACAATATTTACGTTTAGTTAGTATATGAAATAAATGAAAAAAAAAACATTAAACTAAATATTTAAAATTAAAACTATTTTTACAATAATAAAATTAGTATGTACTGCACTTAATTCAATATGCAAAGTTCATAAATATTTTTTTTTGAATCATTATTCATCTTTAAATAATGATAAGAATTCCACACTTATATGATTATTTATATTAAATATCAATTTACTTCATTGTTACAGTTCTATATATAGACAAACATTTGTTAAAGACATAAAAAATTATCGATTTCTTATTGTAAGTTCATTTTCCCATCAATTATAGAAAATAAAATTACAGTTACTTCAAATTTTCTTTCTTGATTAAAACATACATTATAATATGTACAGAAATCAAACCGTTTAAATGTACGCGATTTTTCAAAAAAAAATGTTAACATATTAAAGCTAATATGTCTTCTATATCAAACAAAGTAATATCTCGTATTAAATCTTTAAAAATATTAAAACAATCCGGTTTCGCAAAAATTAACCATGGCTTCTCTAAGCATCCCTTACAAGAAAAAAAAATAAGGGCTAAGTCTTAGGTAACAATTTCTGATTTTGAAATTGAAAATTATTAGAAATTTGTTACCTACTAATTTTTAAAAAAATTATAAAATTTCACTTCCGAAATACCAGACATAATTTGGTTTTTAATTGTTCTACATTTTTAAATATTTTACTATAATTTACAACACAAAATCAAAATTCAAATATAAAAACTTTAAGTCAACTGAATTGACACTAAAATAATTTTAATTATAAAATAAATTTCTAAAAATTATATGCAAGCAGACGACACATGCCCATCAATTGTTTACAAAACAATTTCGTGTGAAAGAACCACTCGACTATACAATTCATTCCTAGTATTTAGTTATCTTCCTAAAGGGTTATATTTTTGATTATAATACATTATAGTATATTCATCATAATGTTAAAAATAGATATATATTAAAATGTTTTGATTAACTTTTTAGGAGTGACATTTCATTAAAAATATAAAAAAAAAACACTAAAAAATATATAATTTACGAGTATGTTAATATGTTTATTTTTAACAGTCAATAATTAAAATGAACTTTCAAAACATTTTTCACTTCATTATGTTCACGCATATGTAATTATTTAATAAAATATAAATTATCATCAGTTTTTATACAAATTTAAATAATGACATATTATAGTTAACCGACTGGAAATATATAATACGCGCATACGTCATTACCAAGTCGCATCAGATTAATTCTCCACAAAAACATACATGACTTTTATTTTCCAGAAAAACCAATAATACAATGTAGACTGTAGAATAAATAGAGTATGATATTAAAGCTATATGATAAAATATAAATTATAAATGCACAAATTTAAACTGAGCATAGCATTTTTACTTATTTTTATCATACACTAGTAATATACTATAATTTACGAGGAGGTTCATATTTTTTTCATTCGTTTTTTTGAACATAAATATATTTAAAAAAAAATGTAGGTACTTAAAACGATGAACTTAATAAATATTACAATTAATATTAAACTCGACTTTGGAATATATATTATAAACAGTCAATTATATGAGATTTTATATGGTTGAGAATGATTTTGACGAGGTCAATTAATTATGTTCATTTTCCGATTGACTCTAAATTTCCTATTCGTCACAAAATTATGGTGTATTCATTTAATTATGATAAATTATTAAATATTTATTTTTAAATATCACCAATCAATTTTACTCGTAAAAATACATATTTCCTTAAAATAATGTACAAATAATATTAACGACTCCATTAAAAGGAATATTTATATCCCACATTTATATTTTCATGAACATTTTTTTTTTCTTTTAAGGAAGTAAAAACAGATGATATATATAACTCAGTAGAAGTTATAGTATCTTATAAATAAATAATAAAATTTATAACTACTCGTAATAAATAATAGACATTACAGAATAAAATAAATTATAATAGGTTACCTATATTAATATATGTTAATTTATTTAAGAATTTAAATTTCTCTTTAACTATCCCAACATAATAATTTCTAAGCAATTTCATAACAAATTGCAATGTACGTTATCGTAGACTTTTAAGAAAATAAAAATTACCTTCTAAAATATTTTAATATTGATATGTTAACATGTCATTCAAAAAGTTAAGATAATAAAATTTATACTTGCATAATTATTTATTTTATAGTTTACATTTTTCCACTAAAAAACAAGAATATATTAGTTTTACAGTTACTTGTATTTTTAGTATCATGTTTAGAAAAAAATCAATTTTATTTTTTTTTGTGATTATAAAATAAAAAATTGTAGACGCATGAAATATTGAATAAATATTCATATTGGAACATATTTTCTAGACATAATATAATATTCCACAAACTGTTTAGATTCAGTTGACTAGATTTATCAATCACAAATTCCATAGTAGATTTTGTAAGTTGAAGAGCCCATTGTGCGTACTGGGTCTCGATCCAGTATTTTACAAATGTAAAGACAGATTAACAAATAAATACGATATACGAATGATTAATAACGAGAACAATAATAATTAATTATTTTATAGACCTAATGTATGCTATTATTAAAATTAAATATAAAATAATTTTAATTATGAATTTAAAATATTTAAATGTATCTAAGATTCCAAAATATGTCATAAAATTAAGAAAAAAAATGTACTTTTAGTTTACTATTATTTGATAAATAACTACTATATCTATATTTTCGAATTTTACGACAAAATTTAGTTTAACTACCGTATTAATGCTATAAAAAAATAAATTAATAATATAATAAATAATAAAATGCTTTAAATTAATAAGCTTTAATATTTTTAACATTTGAATAATGTTTCTGAATATAGTTTACTTAAACTATAATCATTTACACATTAGAATTTTTAAGTTATTTAATCTAATTTTAACTCATTTAAAAAATTTTAATTTATCCTTCATTAAATTTTGATTAAAAAAAAGTTATCATCCAGTAAGCTTGACAATTTATTACAAAGTTCCTCTTAACTTCTACTTATACAGAATTTTAAAAATATTGAAAATACATAGGTACAGCATTTATTTTATTCGATATTCTATAGCATTGACATCATCAAAAATATACGAAAACTAAAGATTTTTAGTTATTAAGCTTATATTGAAATCGGAGGAATATCGAAACTTTTTACATTGGTATTATTTTTTATACACAATGAGGTTTCGAAATATTTTGACCAATTTTAGTCCATTAATATAATAATATTATTCACGCCGTTTTATCAGGTACTTAAATATTGCACTTTTGACTTATAAATTAATAACAATAATATAATGTAATACTTAAATGAAATTGCAATATATTTAGAAAAAAAATCAATTTACATTGTTTAAATAAATGTAAAATAAAGTCATCAAATTATTAGCATGCTCCTTGCGAACAAAAAAAATCTGACTCTTATATTTTTTATTCAAAAGCTGCCATATTTATACTATTATGCTTACTTGAAATGCCTCAAAAATATTCACAGAAGACAGAACAATAGGATATGTTTAAGTAAAATTTTAAATTCAGAAACGATATATACATATGTAATACATCATATACGTCCTATATATAATACCAGTATTATATTATACGTATACATTATTATATTATATTATTTTTGTGTAGCTGACTTAATACTTTGAATTTTCTCGTTGTGTTAAAAATTTCAATCGTCTAGATATTAACACAAAATTACTGTAAAGATTACGAAATATTTATATTTACTGTAAAATATTTAAATCTGTATAGGTTTTGTTTTCTCAATAAGCAATAAATCTCTTTTATATACAGATTACAGGTACTAACATAATATGAATTGATATACCCGAGTCATATTGCAGTAATGTCAAGTACATCAGTGTAAAACATATATATATATGCATTAACATAATACGATAATTCTTAAACAAATATAAGTACTAACAAAACATCAAAACATCCTAAACTTCTTCATACCACGAGCCGCATTGTAAACGCTGTAAACCGAAGGGTTTAATAATTATTATCGTTAAAGAAGTATCATGATAGTAATATAATATATACGATATATTATTTTATTGCTTTCAAATGTTTGGTATTAAAAAAAAAAGGTGGTTTAGTATTATTTCATATTTTTTCTTCTGTAAAATCGATTTCTTGATATTCCTCAAACATATAAATATATACATATATATATATATATAAATATTTGTATGTTACATAATATTATTATGGGTGGAGAGACTTGTTGCACACCCCTCATAGAATCGCCAACGAACACTCGGAGCGCCCATTTATATATGTGGGTGTATGTTAGTGTGTATGCGTGTGTGTGTATACACGAATCCAAAAGGGTATATAAACCCAAGTCATCACTGAAAACTATCTTTTCCTGTACCATCGTCAGCAGCGTAGAAACCTTCGATAAATACTTGTTAACAAAAATTCAATATTTATTTACCGTTTTAATAAAAATATTTACATAGGTACCTAATCAAAATTCAAAGTCTACTAAAATGTAAGTATAAAAAATTACGTATAACTTCATAAAATAATTTATGTAATATAGAATAATTATATTTATTGTGTTATTTAAATAATTTTTTATGGCTTTCTAAATTTTTTTTAGAAAAAAGTCATGAAAATTATGGATATTAGCTATTTTATATTTATACATATATTATGGCTGCATATCTAATGTATTAGTAATAACATTATAATTAATTTTTTTGGTAGTCTACAAAGATATTTTAATTTTAAATAATATGTATTTTATGGAATTTATATTTTATACTTCATCAATTACTAGATTAAAATGATAAATGTTTGTGGATTATCTTGATCCGTATTAAAATAAAAATATAAGTACATTTATAATAGACATTATAAGTGTTGCACATATGAGCACGGAAGATTAAACAATTCTATGCATTAAAAAGTACTTCGTACTTGTGTTTACTAATTCGTGCTTATTTATTATATAAACGATTAACCTTAAGTATTAACTTTAACTTAACATTATATTTATTTAATTTTAATGTTTTATATTTTTATATTTTAATAAATGATAATAATTAAATATACGCTCCACTTAAAAAACAATAATAAGTAAAAAAATTATTTTTTGATCATAATAACTGAATAATAATAATTTATGTATAACCCAAATATTTATTTATCAACATAATATAATTTTTAGAAGATATTAATTCTAATTTTCAATCACCTTCAATTTTATCAAAATTACAATTTAAGTTATAAATAATTTTTAATGTATTTAAAATTAATTAACTAACTATATATGAATTACTTTTACTTTATTTATAATATATATATATATATATACATAGTTATATATGTCTCGGCAGATAATCAAATTATTAAAAAAATTTGTTTTGAACATTTATTTCAATTAATTTTAAACATAAATTTTGAAAGTTAATTTATCATTTAATTATGATAGAAAAAAATAAAGTGTTTATTTAAAAATATATATATTTCTATAACTTACTTTCAATAGTTTTGTGATGAAGTAAAGTTTTTTTTTACTTTACTGGAAAATATAAATTTTCTCTAATAATTTACATTATCATATGTTGAGCATACAAATATATTTTTAAATATCTTGTCTTTTTTTGTGCTACTAGTAGACATTTAAATTGTTTAGATTTTTATCTATCTTGATTGATAAAATGTTTAATTGTAAACAAAAAACTGAACAATTTAACATACAAACTTCCTTTTACGTTTTTCTAACATAAATCTAAAAATATAAAATATGCATGCATACATTTTTCTTATAGACATTTGTAGTTCAAAATTTGACAAAATTAAAAGTGAATATTTTAACAAAAAATAATGATCATTCTTCTAACGTTTTAAGATATTATGTTGTAATTTCAAGAATATTAATCGTAGGGTCTTGAAAATTTTCACCATTATATAAGTATATTATTATTATTTTCTACAACCAATGAAAATATAAGCATAATTAGACATTTTTCAAACTATTTATCACACGAACATTTTCACACCATTCTATTATGGTACCTACTCCGTTACTCGTAGGTTGACTTAAAAATAAATAATAATAATATTTATAGTATTATATTACAATAATTATCCCATAATATATATACATGAAAATTGTTTTCCTTCTTAATATAAAATAATATACATACATATATCAAAAATATAAATTATTTTCCTGGAACTGAATGTTTACCTTCTATAATATAATCTATGTAATGAAATTAATAAAATACACATTTTAACATTAATATCAATTTATTTGATTTATACAATTTTATACTGAATATTAAAATAAGTGTCTACATTATTAAACATTAGTTAAATTGCGTGAAAATAAGATGACGATAAGGTTAAAACGCAATTTTATATAAATCCTTCAGTGTTTATAGTTTTGAAAAAATATCAATGTATTACCAATCCATTTAAAGAAGTAACTATTTTTAACACATGTACTAAAAATTACAGGTATTTTATTTCAATAAAATTAATGATTTTACCGTGAAATTTAATCGATAACTGGTAAAAATGACTTATTATTTGTACTATTTTTTTTTATTTTACACAAATGTTTTTATCATTTTTGCTAATACTCCAAAACAACGTTTTGGAAACCCTTGGGATTAATAAAAAATAGTACAATTTTTATTTAAAAACAATAACATATGTATACGTATTATTATAACAACATAAAACGCAAAAAAATATTGCATATTGTCGTAGTAATTGTTATCTTTTTATTATTATTTTTGGTTAATTTAATAAACATTTGGTTAACTTCACCTCATATGAATAATTCATTTAATTTTTCAATTCAACCTGGAATATTCTGTTATTATTTTTATTCAGGAAATACTATCAATTAGACACAAATTAAAATATAAGTTTATAGTCCGAGTTGAGCTCGTTTTATACACCTCATACTAATTCATACATAAAACTTTCCATTTAAAAAAAAAAAAAAATCTATGTCAATACTAAAAATCTGATCTGGTTGCAGCGTCATCATACTAATTTGTTATTCTAGCACGTATTGGTCGTTGTTGACATGTTTGTAATTGTATTTCTTTCTTAAGATTATTATGTAATCACTATACGTACACTTTTAACAGTCTCAAATGGCGCCCCCTACGCATTTTTAACTTTCACACAACACTACTATATTATATTGGTGTTGTATAGACCACTAATTTCGTGGACATTTTTTTTTAATAAAATAAAATAATGCGATTTTAGTGTAAACGAAATTTTTAGAAAAAATGTGAATTTTTTAACATACCTAACAACCTGTTTTCACTCATTTTCTAGACTAAATGGCAATAGCCATCAATCATCATAATAAAATAAGTATATTTATATTAATATTTTATTATTTTACCCACGCCTAATTAATGTTATTACTCTTTAAAATTCAATTAAATAAATTAATTATATTTCCTAGTAGTGAAACAATAAATAAATCAATAATCATGAACTTACAGATTTTTTCTTCGGATAATTCAGAACATCATCAATTCAAAATTATTTTGAATTACCTTTAGAGGGTATTAACTAAATTGTAAAACCTTAAATAACATTGCGTATAATCAAATATGGGCAATTTACTTGATCGTAACTTTGAGTTTTAATATTAGTTACTAGTTAATTTATTATTTATTTAAAAACATAATTATATCAGTACTTTATTGACTATGAATGGTAATCATGAATCAAAATAATCAAGATTGTAGAGATAAAAATAATCAATTTAACTATACGTGAATTTAAATATTTAAATAAAATTAAATAAAAATAAAATAGTTTAAAAAAATATTAATGAATATTTCAGTTTACTTTTGAACACGGTTAACTAAATCAGCTCGGTACAAAGTGTTCACAAAATAGTAGTTAATAAACTAAATTGGTTTGCACCTACCAACTGTTATTTTATACTCATGAAACCAAATCACTTATCAATTTAATAAAAGTTCTAATAGGGTTCGCCACTCTCAAAATAAAGTGAAAATAACAAGGTTCCTAGCTATATGTATATTCTACTACAATCGTTTTCTACTCATATCAAGAACTTTCGTCTACAATTATTTGTCTTGAATTTTTTAGCTTATCGTTTTATATTTCCATACAGATTATAGTTAAAAATAATTATAATTTTTATCATGTTAGTAATTTTTAAAATTAAAATAATAATACTATAAACGATTTATTTTTTAATTAATTAAAATGTATATACAACTTAACTTTATTTTACGTTACTGAGTTCTCTAAGTTCTCTTAAAATATAAAATAACAATACAGTTTTAAAGCTGTTTTATAGCTAATACAAAAATAAAATCTTTATTTATAATTTTTAATGATATTTATTAACCGAAACCATTCATCACCGAAGTTCAAATATTTATATCATACAATAAGACTATGTAGGTATGTCAGTACAAATATGCCAATAAAAGATAAAACAAAAATACAATCTAACAATTGTTACTGAAATGAATTAACAGTAACTTTAGTAGTTTATTTATTTAATATAAAACTTTATAAAATATAATAAAAACAAATACTTTTTTAAAACCAACCAAACGTAACTTAAAAAATATTAACTAAATATGTCATGTTATAAATATTTATGATTTTATTCATTTGCTACAAAAAATAAAAGAATCTATAAATAAATAATTATTTTATTTATACCGTACAAGTTATTGTTCACTATAAGACAATTTTAAAGGACTCTTTTTTTCAATGAATCCCTTTATTACTCCCTACACATTTTGTAACTTACCAATCAATTTGGATCTTATCCTTTTATAGTCTGTACTCTTTGCTATAATTTAATATAAATTTCACTAATATTATCAATTAAACATGATAACGTATTTATATTTTACAATACAAATGTAATCGATACTTCATAATAAGACATTCTGTCTACGTCACAATGTATAAAATGTATATTTGCTTATAATGAATTCATTATTATAGTTTTTTTTTTGTTTTTTTTTTTCAGACGAAAATACTAAAATTACATCCAACATTTTATCCATGCATCAAAGTAATAACTCTAACATGGTCAGAGTAATAGTCTACATTGGATTTGTCGTCTACGTGATGGCCTTGGCCACAACATGTTACTGTCATCCCGTAACGTCTTCTGAGGTTGAAAGCATAGCTCGACCAACACGGCCTAAAACTTTTGGTTCACCAGATGAATTACGTTCATACCTAGACCAGTTAGGACAGTACTTGGCGGTAGTTTCTCGTCCGAGGTAAGTTTATTCATATCTTTATTAAATTAAAGAAATATATTACACGTTATTTTGATTTTAATGTCCCAAATTTCTTAATATATAAATGAAACATTAGTATCAATAAAATCAAAATAATTAATATCATAATCACAATTTGTTTGACATATTCACATTATCTTTGATTATTAAACTATAGATTAAAAATATGGTATTTATTTTAATTTAAGCAAGTATTAATAATTAAATGTGTTTAATTGCCTATTTAACTCAACCATTAAAAATTAAGATACTTAAATTATGCTATATTATTACTTTTTCTTAAATTATAATTATATTTTAATCATGATTATAAATTACCTAAATAGTATTAATAAAATCTACAGTGTTAATAAAATTATATCTATAAAATTTTAAACTTATCAGAAAAATACTGTTTGAAATTAGGTTTGGAAAAAGGAAACCTACGTTTCCTGTCATCCCGTCTGCCATCACAACACCGAGATTACAACAGTACATCGACCATCAACGCATGCTTAACAATATTATAAACCGAGAAGACGACGAGACTTATAAATTACAATACAAACCGGCTGCTATAAGAAATTCAAAAGACTTGTATGACATGTTGTTTACGACACGTCGCGAAAACGGCAATAATAACCGCCATCAATACTATTTAATGCAACAAGATGTAACGAATGCAGACATTGGTTTAGATTCAAATTAATTATCTTTAAAATGTATTTGTAGTATAAGATGTAATGTATTTGTATTTCTTACAAACTTTAGTCATGTACAGACAGTATTGTACTAGTTATTTATAATATAATAACATTAAAATTTTAATTCGTCAGTATAAATAAATTCTGTTTAAAGTGTTGGTACTTATATAATGAATTTAATATTACAAATAATAAAAATATCGGTTTATTTTTAATTTTTGTTGTAAAACATGGATAACTTTTACAAAAATAAAAAGCTATTGTTTAACTATCAAGTAGGTAATGAAGTAAGGTAAGTAAGATAGGCAGGTCCGTATTTAAGAGAGAACTAGGAGAGGCAATTGCCCCTGGTAGTAACATTAAAATTAGTTTTAAGGGCGACAAAATATTGAAATGGTCAAAAATGTAAAATTTATTTGTAGCTTATTTTACCGAATAAGTATAATTATACAAAAATATAATATAAAATATAATAATATAATATGATTAGTATAATAAAAAAAAATAACAATGATAATGTAATTAGATACTCCAAAATAGATTTTGAATGTACCTAATAATGTTTTTATTCGTTATCATCTCGAATATAACTATTTACTACTACAATTATGTAATATCAATTAATTAAAATATTTTTTCTTTTTTTTTTTTTTTTGGGGGGGGGGGGGTGAATTGTATATTATTGCCCTTGGCGACAATTTTTGTAAATACGTGCCTGAAAATAGGTTCTACTACCTATATAGCATTCCTACCTATGCACAATGTAATATAGATACTATCGATACTGAAATATTAACAGTATATATGATTTCAATTCTAAGATAGTTGTTATGAACTACGTATCTTTAATACATAGATTAATTAAGCTTTTAATTCATTGAAAACTATACTGCAGAAAACAATAATTATGAACATATTATACCATACGACAAATAGAAACACCAACATAAGTATTATGGCATATTTATTATTAATTCACTTTAAAAAAGTATTGCGCGGGATGCTTAAAAACTGTATACATTGTTATACTTACATGATACACTGTGACTGTCTGGTAAATTAACACCCAAACGCAATAACATAATCCGGAGATAAATGTATCTTAAATTCTATCTCAGGATAGAATTCAATCCCACTCAATCCCCGATAGATTTATTTTTAAAAAAATTAACGAATTTATGGTTTTAAATTACGTCTATAAATACTCTCTAGTATACCTTAAGGTGGTTATTTTTCCATTTTTCCATTTTTACTATTCTCTTTATTTTTTATTAGCGCTAACTGGGTTTTAGGTGATTTTCAGCTTCTAGTATTTGCTGTTAATATTTATATTAATTCAATAAATAATTGTACCCTCCTTCATAATGGCTTAGGGAAATTCACATCTCGGACTAAAATCTTAGGTTTATCGTTTATCATTTTTAAATATAACTCCATGACATTTACCCATGCAAAAAACCCATTTAAGTAATTATATTTCTTAACTCAACAGTGTTCAACAATGATCTAGATTCCATTTTCACTCCTATACTTAGTCTTAATCTGCACATTGATTATGCCTGGTATAAAACACTCGAACTTTTATTTTTTATTGAACGATTAACACATAATTTCGAATTGTCAACACCTCTCAAGACTTTATATCGTGCGCTCATCAAACTAATATTAAAAAATGGTTCTATCATCTAGGACCCTATTACAACAAGATTTTTTCTTGTCAATTTAAAAGATTTTGACGTAAGTGATTTAATGACTATAGACTATATTTTTAAAATTGACTGCCTCCTCAAAATTACACTCCTGTATTAGCTCATTTACAATTGATTCTCTTAACTGGCTGCAAACATGAAACTAATTTAATTTTCATTAAAAGTTTACATTATAGCGAAATTGATTCCCCTACTTTATTTTAATATATATTATCTTAAATTAATTTGAAAGTACACTCTTGTACTATACGTCGTTCAGTTCCATTTCACATTTCCAATCACATCTTTCATATTATGAAAAATACCAATCACTCTATTGTTATATGTCACAAGCAAATTTGAAAATTCTCTTTTTCATTTTGTTAAATATTAACATCTAACTATTAATTAAAAAATATTATTATTATTGATTGTTAATTAAAAAAAATTTATAGCGTTACTACTAAATAAACAAATTTAAAAAAATATGCCTAAATACATTAATCCTACATATTATATTATATGAACATAAAGCAATAATACAAAATGAAAATTCGATTTTAAATAAATACATTTATATTACCTAGTAGGTACTAGGTAGATAATACCTATCTGGCTACCCAGGGACGGATTGGAATTTTGGACCAGCCCGGGAAAATACTTTTTTACCGGCCCACTATTTGTTGGGAGATTGGGGGGCAACTGGCAAGTGTACCATATTGAAGATAATATTTTTTTTTAGTATTTTAAAGGGTAGTCTACTGTAATCAGTGTTATTATAAAATCAACCTTTAACAATAAAATGTAATAATAAAAATAATAAAAATGGAATAACAATAGTATTACCTACATATAAATGTTACATAATAAAATGTTAGTAATTATTTTTTATTTGAATAAATAAAATGGTTTAATTTACAATGACAGATTTTTTTTTAAAAGAGAACTCTCTTTTTGTAATTCTTCTATTATTTTATCTGAATCCAATAGTGTTAATTTCTGTTTTTCGATGGCCATTAACATGAATGCTTCTAGTTTTGGATCCGAAAGCTGATTACGAAGTCTTGATTTAATATTCTTTAAGAAAGAAAAAGATCTTTCACATGATACTTGGGTTGATGGTAGTGTAAGTACATATTTGTATGCCAAAAATAAATTAGCATATGCATCACAATATAAATTATATTTTTGTAAAATGTTATAGCAACAAACTACACAGTTTTTGCAACTCTTGCAAGTCATATTTTGTGATTCATGATTAATTTTAGATTCAATGTCATCTTCTTCATCTTGTGTTAGCTCCAAAGAGTATGAAGTAGCAAATGATTCAGCAAGACTTTTCTTTAACTTGTCCCAATTTTTTGCAAAATGTATTAACTCATCCTTTAGACCGTTGTAAGTTATATTTGAATTCAAACTCTTTAACTTATCACACAAAGTAGTCAATGCTTGATCAGGCAAACCATTTTGAATTATATACGAAAAATAACTTGGTGACAAACATGATAAATCATTATACAATTTTCTGTGTTTTATAAATCTTTTGTTAATACTCTCAACGACTATATCTAATATTCTGTTATGAACTTCTATTTCAAACTTCTTTAAAGGATCCTCATGTATCATATCATTACTTATCTCACCTGGTAACATTTTTTTCTTTCTGGTTCTTATATTAGATAATATTTCATTTACAGTTATAGGACTATCACCATTGAATTGTAAATCTAACTCAGTATTAGCCCAAATAACAAATGACTCTGCAGATAATTTTATCCATTCCATATTTCTTTGAACTTTTTTTAAATGTTCAAGTGCTCCATCAACTAGATTCTGAGCTGTAATTAAATCCATTGATTTTGATTGCAGGTATCTCGATAAAGGACCTGTAATACTAAAAATTCTAATATATATAAATGCAGTCAAAATAGTAGAAAAATTCAATAATATATTTTTCATAGTTTCAGCTTTGACCCTTATATCTGGTGTAGATTTTTCATCGTTTAGAATATCATATAAAGCCATTAAAACATCAACATACAGTGCATTGCTCTTACATGGACCTTCAGTTGATCCAAATATTTTAACAAGTGCAACTTCTTTACTCCACCACCTTGTTTCACCAATACTTTGTAAGCGTTGATGTAGATTATGGCATCGTTCTGTCCAAACTCTCATACGCTTATGTGAATCTTTGAAAAACACCGCTAAACTATTACACAAATTAAAAAGAGATGCAGCAGCCAATGGTGATTTGGAAGCATCTGACAAAACTAGATTTAATACATGGCTGTAACACCAAACATGAACTTGATTTGGGGATGATTCATTAAGCCATGCTGAGAATCCATTGTACTCCCCTTGCATATTAGCCGCACCGTCGGTAGTATTGGCAATACAGTTTTTTACATTCAAATCATTTAAAAGTAAAACATTTTGTAATAAATCATGCATGCCTTTACCTGTTGAATCTGAACAGTTAACAACTGCAATTAGGCTTTCGTGAATACCATTGTCATCGACATATCTTAAGACTACTGCACATTGATCCGATGATGTAATATCTTGAGTAGTATCCAGCATAACTGCATAAATTTTAGCATTTTTAACTTCATCACAAATTGATTTTTTTATTAAACGACTTATTGCAGCAATAACATAATCAACTGTGGTTTTAGAAATAAATGTAACCAGTCCTCCTCTTCCTTTACTACCACTTTCGTGGGCTTTACGGCTCTTTTTTATTATGGTTTCCAAGTGATCTTTCATTTGAAAATCATATTTTGCTAAAAACAATATGATTTCTAAAAAATTTCCGTGGTCAACAAATGGATTATCTAATGTGTATGCTGCTTCAAATTGATTTCCCCTATAACTCAATCCACGTTTTCCTATAAGTTTAACAGCTTCAATCACTCTTGTAACAATTTTTCGGTTTTTTTTTATTTCTTTTTTAGTTTCACAGAAAAGTAGTGAACCAATATCAAATTTATTTGAATGGTGAAAAAAAGCTGATACACAATTTTTATGTACTGTGCTTTTATCATGTTCATCAATTCGAATATAAGTATGACTCCATACATCTAAGCCTTTAGTAAAATTATTACTTTCTGAAGAAAATGCAAGACACAAATAGCAGAATAATTGTTTTGGATTTTTATTGTAGGTTAACCATTTTCGTTCAGAGCCATTACTTCTAAAGAAAGCTTTTTGAAAATTAAATGGAGTTTCTTCATTTAATTTTGGTTTTTGAGGATGATATTTAAAAAATTGATTAAGCTGTGTAATTTCAGGTTTCTTGAATATATCTAGAGGGCCAAAATTAGAAAAATTACACATTGATCAGTTTGATAATTTACAAACTACAATAGACACAAAGACACATAGGTTATAGGTATCTAATAATGAGCCAAATGCTCAAATTAGTAAATTGTAATTTGTAATATAATATTTCTACAAATATTTTTAATTAAAAATATTATTAATTCCTTTATTGTCGAAAATTGCAAAAAGTGAGATTGACCCTTTTAGACTTGAGCCACAGAATTGTAATTAATATTATTTTTGTCTATGTGCCTTTGTATGCTAACTAAAATTGTTTCCAAAATTAAAAAAAAACTTACTAGGTATAACTTCATTGTTAACACTTTTTTGATGATCAATAGATTCAATTACATTCAAGCCAATATTTGCATTATCTTTATTTCCAATACTAAAAGTTTCTTTCTCTAAACTAACGTTATTAATGCAACTATCAGTCACCTATTTAATTAAAATTAAAAAAAATATATTTTATAAAATAAATTTTAGAATGTAGATTATTGTACTTTGTACAGTAGGTAACAGTTTAATATTTTTAATTATTAATATATTATTATTATAATGACAAAGTTCAGCTAAAACTCACTTCACTATTCTGAGACTTGAAAAATGATTCAATGCTTTTAGAAGCCTTTGCTTCTAAAAGTAGTATTTTTTTCTTTTTGTCTCGAATTTTTTCAGCTCCTCCTTTTCGTTTTTTACTACAGTTTGTTTCATCCATTTCCATTTTATTTTAATATTTTATAATTCGCAAATATTACTATTGAAATGTAAAATTAACTAAATTGTGCTCACTGCCGACTGCCGAGTGCTGATATCGAGGTTTTGAATGACGATTGATATTTAAATATAAATAGTATAAATTTCAAATAAAAATATTCTTATAAGGTATTCATATTAACGGCCCGCATCGACTTGTATCGTCAATATTCGTCGTCATTACCCGCAACCCGCTGGCCCATATGATCGACGACAACCCGAATAACCAATTATTTATAGATTTTATTGTCCACGGAAGTTGATTTTTTGATTACAGCTTATATTGGTATTACTTATTGATACTTTATATTATTATTCAGTTTCTGTTGTAGACATTGTATAGGTACTTGTATTATTACAATTTACAATGTTTTACGTTATTATATTATAGGCTGTTATTACGTAATATCATTGAATAAATAATCTATAATCAATGGTAATATTTATTAATTATTTCATTGTTTTTACGTTTACCTACTATTTACTATTTAGTACGCGGCGTCGCGGCCCATCGGGAATTTCCCCATTTCCCTATGGCCCAATCCGTCCCTGTGGCTACCTAAGACGAAGAAATAAATGAAAATAATAATAATGTATATAGGTATTCCTTATCATGCACGAAATGTATGTATAGTAACTGAATTATTCAAATAGCTGTTAATTATTCTTATCAAGACACATAAATACATTCTGAATTATAAGTTATAGATATTTTTAATAAATATTCCCTACATAAAATTCTACATTTTTAGTAAAGTTTACTAAAAATAATAATAATTAATATATTTTATACTTAAATATACTCTCTGCAGGTAACACAGTAGAATGTATTTATTATCTATTATTATTTTTGAATCTACAAAAAAAAAATTCGTGTTGATGGACTAAAGTTTAGCCTCTAAATCTTTTTTCAAGTGAATGTCCGGGAATGAACATAAAACTTTTAAAATTGTATTTAAATACAATTAAAATATAAATATTTCAATATTTATCGATTAAATACAAGGTATAAAATACATTTGATTTTAAAGAAAAAATACTAAACACAATTAAAAAATAAACAAATTATATAAATACACGTAATTACAGTACATAGTACGTTAGAGTACATAGTATTATAGTAATATAAGTATAGGTACATTATCTCAAATTAATCGGTTTAATAGTTTCAACTACAGGTACGTTGATTATGAATTAGTTAATCAGGAACATATTTTAAATGTACATACAGATTAATATTAATATGTAATTTAATGAAAATAAATTATTAAGTTATAATTTTAAATCGTTTTTATAAATTAATGATTGCCTTTCGAAAAACATAAAATTCCGAAATTACGAATAGAAAGTTTTGACTTGGTTGTAGTATAAAAGCATTCAATCAACCTGCATGGAAAGGAACTTGAAGCTATTGAAAAATGTCACTTTTAATGGTTAGATTCAATAGTTTAAGAGAAAATTAAAAGTAAAAATAAAGTGTATTAAAGTATTTACTTGAATTGTTTTTTTATTAAAAATACTAAAAAAATTCTGTTTACGTCGAGTAGAAATATCTTGTGTTTAAATTTTAAATACAAGATCGTATATAATACTTTAGATAAAATCTAAAAAAACACTCAGTAAATAACTATGGTAAGTGCAAAACACAATTTACAATTTACTATTTCAAATACTATCCAACCATGTTTATGCCTAAATGACTATGGATTATTATTTATCAACTATTATAAGTACTTATTGTAATTGTATGCATAATATTTATAATAAACATAATTTATATTAAACATAAAACAAATATATTTGATATTATTATAATTAAAAAGTCATTAAATTTCTTTATAATTTTTGAATATATTGACTTTATTTAAATTATTTTGAAAATAAATTTTAACTGCGAAATTGTGATAATAATATAATAAATATAGACTCAAAAGACTGTAGCTTCAAAATGAGCTGTCTTGTGAAAATCTCCGGATTGATTAATTATTATATAAATGATAATGACAGCGACATCTATTGTCGTCATTTTGAACTTTGATCAAATACTCTTATATTTTAATTCGCATAGCTTGAAATCGGAAATCAAATTATAAAATAAAAAAATTCTTATTTCTTAGTTAGTATTTAGCCACATTTTTTTTTTTTGCTGTTATACAAAAAAAATTATTTGTTGGAACTTGAAACTGAATGTACCTATGTTATTATTTATCATAGGTACTCTAATACACTATGAAATTTTAAAAGAATTATAAGTTATGTGTACAACTTTACTTTTTTTTGTGTTTATCTACCTATAAATGATAATTAATAGACTTATACTGTTAAGTTTTGTTTGATTAATCGTGATTCTTAAATAATTAATTAACCTCCTGAGATATGTAAAATATCATTAAAAACAAACAATGTTTATTTGTAAAATAATAAATACAAAGTAGGAAATCAAAAACTCACCTCAACACGCGACCTATTCCATACAAGATCAAAATCAACATGAAATTCTTGAACATCACCGTTAAACATCAAATATTAATTAAAAATGTAATAATAAATGATTTAAAAAATGTTAAGTAATGTAAATGATGTATATTATATCAATAATTAATAATTGAATAATATGTATACGTTTAAACAACACATTATATTCAAACACAAATAAAATAAAATAATATCACATTACCAAAATCAATATTCATTACAATCGATAGTTGTAAATAATTACTTATTTGATATTTCTTATATATGACTAATAAATTATTATTGATTACAACAATAAATATTTTAAATTGTATAATTTATTTCTTAATATTAAAAAGAATTAATGAATTGTTACATTCAGAAAATAAATAAATAAGTAAAAATTATTAACTAATTTACGAAATGAGTGTTTTTAAATAATATTTATGTTATACAGTTGGTATTGAACAATGATAGATATACTAAATTAAAAAAAAATAAGTTAATTTAATTGTTTTTGGTTAAATTTACTATACTTATTACTAATAATATAAATATTTTAATCGTTGGATAAGATTGACATCACGTAATCGTCACTTGTTCTACATGTCAGTCATAATATATTGTGTATATTTTATAATGTTGTGTATATGTATTAACTATTTTTTCTAGTTTACATTAAATATTCATGTATACAATTTAATAATATACCTAGGAACAGTAGAAACACTAGAAACTATTTAATGAAAATAAAAATGAAATTGATTAAATTGTATTTAATGACTAAATAGTCTGCACTCTGCAATATATTTAGTTGAAATATCTAAATCAGCAATTTTATGTAAGTATTTCTTTAAATATCCGTAAAATTGCAACTGTAGCATACAGTTAGTATTTACTATGTAAAAACGTGGATTTATCGTATATTCATAATTCACATTCAAAAAATCAATTTTCGGTACACGGCTAAAGGTTATAAAAAAAGACGCATTTATATAGTATGCATCTAATAAAAACTACACATCATTATGGTTTAATGTTGAAATCTATATTTATTAGGTACTCTGCTCAAAAACTAAAAATATAAATAGGTCTGCCACTCTGCCCAAGAAAACATACAGCGTAAAGTATATTAATATGTAGAAACTAGAAGCAATGAACGGTTGCCAATAAATCAACTCTCAAAATACGCGCTTACATATTTTAGTGTACATATTTTTTTCTACAATATTTTATTTTACATTTCCATAATATATGTTTTCTAAATTAAATTTGTGAATCGTAGCACACGCCTCTTCGATTAAATACTATGGTCAATACAATATATACCAGGGCCATACTAAGACGAGGACAAAATATGTTCTATTGGGCAAACAGTTTTAGCCGTTTTAGGGTTATTATTTTATTAAATTAAAATATAAATATATATTTATGATTCTTAGTGGAGCGATAAATGTAAATTTAATATTACTATAATGATTTTTTTTTCTTGTTTGTTTATTATTATTTTGTTTTTTTTTTTTAATAATAACTTAGCTTGAAGCTATAATATGTTATTGCATGTTGAAAATAAACGTTGAATACAATTTAATTTATTTTTATATATTTTAAAATATTATATTTAGACTATCAAACGTTAACAATATTAATAACTAATAAGAAGGTTATATGTTAGGTATATCATTAATAATATTTTGTTTTGTAATAGATACAAAAATTATTAATTTTTAACATTAATGTTAATTTTGATTATATTATTATAAATACATTTAAAATATTTTGAACCAAGCTTCATTATAAATTGTACAACAGTTCATGTCTAGTTTAATTAGTTTAAAAATTAAAGCAAATCAACCTATTATAAAACTTATGCGCTAAGAACATTATCTGTGTTTGTAGGATATTGGTTTTTTACGACAGTTAAATTTTCAATTTTTAGCGAGTTATGAGCATTTATGTTAATACACATTAAATTACGCTATTTTATGTACTCCAAACGTGAACTGCTAGCCGCTAGCGTAAACTTCACATGTTACGCTTACGTATTTATAAGACAGAGACAATTGATATTATTAAGATTATATTTTTATTATTATTATTACTATTTCATATCACAAGATATGATAAGGTGATATTGAAAATAGTGATTACATTATGTTGTACAGACGGTAGATATAAATGATAATAAATTATTACTGGCCGTCTGAAATTTAAATTTTTAAATAATACATTTTAAACTTAAAATAAAGCCAACAACAGCTATGTTTGTCTTCTAGTTTTTAAAAATAATTTCTAACGGTATAGAACACATACAGACTTAACAAATTTTAGATTTTTATTATATGTTATGTTTATAAAAGTATTATAATCTATATGGAGAGACAACAGTTTTCGTTGTCTTACGGTGATGACAATGACGTTGGTGACTACTTATATAACTTCCCAGCGGGTAAAGTATCATTACTATTACAAAGTAAACATATCCAATGAGAACGGTATTAATTCAAAATTCACAATACTAGATTACTATGAATTGTACGATGATCAATTAGAAGACGAGAATCAGTATTATCAGTCAAATGTAAATGCAGAAATTCATAATCAACCCTCGTTTTGGAGTAATCTAACATTTCACCAGTTGTGCACTCAATGTGTTGTGCCTGCTGTTTGGAGTACTGGCAATCTACTTGGAACTACACTTATTCTATGCATGTTTTTTAGATTATTTATTGTTATATGTAAGCAAAACCCATTATATTAAAACTATTTTTTTACAAGTTTTAAAACATACTCGTAATATGGTTTCAGGTAATAAAATCAAAGTAGTTCCTGAAGCAGTCTTACACACTGTATGTGCCATATGTGGTATTCTACCATTAATTATATTTCATGAAGATGGAGACGTGTATCAATTATTACTACAAATTGTGTTGTACCCTATGTTCTGTTACATTTTGTCTATAATATGTATATTAACTTTAAAACACCATTCCTCTATTGTGTTCTCTATTATAATCCTATTAACATTATTCTATCGGTGAGTTAGTATTTACTTTAATTATATTAGTATTATTAGTAATATTACCTATATATTATTTTAGATTACATTTTTAATTTAAAGTAAACATAATATTTTTAATAAAAATATTATGTATTAGACATAGAGTTTATTTATTATGTAGTATGTGTATTTAATTTTAAATTTAATAACTTATTTTAAATTCATACAAGTATAGTGATTAGTGCGACCTCTAAAACTATTGATATCTAGTTAATATACAAATTTATAATAAAAATTATAAAATATTGTTCATGCTATGGTCATAAAAAGATGAAAGTACTAGTATGTTTTCAATAAAGAATTTAAAATAATGGTAAATAATTTTAGAATAACATGATATAATGTTAAATATTAGTAAATAATACTAAAAACCTATGTATTAGTTTCAAGAGGATGTCAGCTTATTATAATTAATTTTTTCTTTCTAATCAATGTGTAACATAGAAAATTTGCATTCAGTTGAATTAATCTGGTGTTGTTAGCTTTAATATTACAGTGTATTTACCTATTATCATACATAAAGTTCAAAACATTATCTATTTACTGTATTTTAATTTTTCTGTGATGTATCATGATTTTTAAATTTGAATATTCTGTATGCATAACTTGCATAAAAATTTAAGTATAAAAAATCTAACGTTCAAAGACTGATCACTTCCTTAATTTTTATTTAACGATTTACACATTCACTTTAACATTTAAAACTAACAACACAAGACTGATTCTATTGAATGTTACATTATTTTAGTAATAGTGCTAGTTAGTCAAAGATGGAAAATAAATAGTATAATAATATTTTCAAAAAAAAAAAAAAGTTAATATAAATCTAAATATTTACAGTGAATGTTTTACAAATGATTCAAAATGGCAAAAAACCAAAAGTGCTCATATGCTAATGTCAATGAAAGCAATGGCAATATTATTTGATATTCAATCGAATAAATTGCATACATTTCCTTCAGTTTCTCAGTATATAGGTTATATGATGTGCGCAGGCACTGTCTATTTGGGTCCATTTTTGACATTTCAGGAATACTCAAATGCGTTTTTGCTCTCTGTTAACTGGGTAATACATTAATTAATTACTTTTTTTTTTAACTTAATTGTATTTTATACTTTTTATTTTATTTAAGAACAAGACCAAAGTCTGTCGTTTAATATGGAAAATAATTATTTCATTGCTTTGCTTCGTTTTATCGATTTGTGTTGTGGATTGGCTGTTTAGCAAACATTTATTGACCAACAATAAAAGGTTTGAATTATACCAATCAATTTATGTTTAATTTATAATTTATTATAACTTTATGTTACAGTAGTTCAATTATCAACATTTTTCTAATTATGTACAAACAAGCTTTGGAGTTTCGTACTGGTCATTATTTTGTAGCCTATGCATCTACTGTATTTGCAACTGTTTGTGGATACCATAGTGAATACAATAGTGAAATATTAGTAACCCATCCATTGATTATGGAATGGCCACGATCTCTTCTACATGTAGTTGTGCATTGGAATGCACCAATGCATTATTGGTTAAAAAAATGTGAGTTACTAAAAAAAAAAAAAAATGTTGTAATAATTATGTAAATTAAAATAAATTTTGTATATTTATTTAGATGTATTTGAAGAAGTACTAAAATATGGCAATAAAAATAAAAAACATAGAAACAGATTTATTGCTATAGGGACCACATATTTAGTGAGCTCTCTATTACATGGATTTGAACGACGATTATCAGCTGTATTACTTTCTCTTGCTGCTTATACATATGTAGAACACCAAATTCGAACAAAACTGGCATCAAGATTTCCAAGCAGATTTTCTTATTATGCTAAAAACAAATATTCTCACCATAATTCAAAAACTTACTTAAGTAGCTTAAACCAAAAAAATTGGTTCTTTTGGAGTATTAACCTTATGTTTACTATTTTAAACATTATACATTTAGCTTATCTTGGTTCCATAATTGATATGTCTGTAGAAAATTCTTATAATACTACTTACCAAGAATCTTTTGCTCCTTGGAGTCGAGTATCGTATTTTAGTCATTTTATAATGTTAATTATGTTTTTTATCAGTATTCTACTTTAAATATAAAATAGCTAAATATATGTAACTCTTGTACACATAATAAATATTTATTTTTTATTTATTAATATGTTATTCAATTAAATTGAATTTAAAAAAATGTACAAAAAGAAACAATTAAAAAAAAATAAAATAAAATAGTAAGAAAATGACATTAAAATAGTAATATTAACAATACTTATAAATAGTAAGGAAAATCAAGTAAATGAGGAACCATAAATTGGCCAACTTTATCATCCTATCATTTTATACAAAAAACTATCACTAGAATAAAACACGGACATTAAATAATTAAAAAGTATTTATTATATTATAATGTATATTTATATACATTTAATTTCCTTTGAAATGATAACTTAAATAAATCTACAAAGTAGATGGAATATTACATTTTTTTTTTTTTTTTTTTTTGTAATGTGAACTGTGCATTTATAAGAAAAATTAAAATTATAAAAGTTGACTTAATTGATTTAATTTATTTTCTCATGTACTATTACACATCAATATAATATTTAAGAACTATAATATGCAGAGTAATTATCTAAACAAAAAAACACTCATTATTTCAAAAATTATAAAGATATATTTTGCACCATTTGAAGTCTTAACAAATTGTAATACAACATTTTTAAATTTTTATACCATATCGAAATATTTTTTAGAGTATTTGATAACAAAAAAACTGATTAATAATTCGTTCAAAATTTGATTTATGAATAGAAATGGGTACTTAAAAACATATTGTTCTTCAGAATATTAAATTGAAATTATCAAAAAAAAAAAAATAATAATAATAATAAATATCGAGTAGTTATCTATTCCACTTTAAAGGTCATAAATACTTAATTTAAATTCAATGAATAGGTAAATTATTTATATTAACAAACGATTCACACTCTTATCATTTCTGAGGCCTATTTACCAAACAATTATAATACGTCAATAATAATATTTAAGTTTTGACAAATATTTTTATAAGATTCTGAATGAAGCGATGGATATATTAATTTTGTGTCTTGATACATTTTTTCTCGTAGAAATTATGAAAATATCAACTTCTTAGAAGGTTTTTAGTAGAAAATTGGATCTAGTTTAAATTTCTGAATTACAATAAAATAACTAAAATTAGTATTTTTTTATTTAAACATTGAATTAATTTTTAAAAACTCATACTAACGTATTTTTAATATTTTTAAATGCCTAGTTAAGATGTGAAATCTTGTATTAAATTTCCAAGCACTTCAACCTAACCTAAACATTTTATCAACTTTATTAGTATCAAAATACAATTGAATATAAATATCACCTAGAAAATAATAAATAATAATATATTTAATATATACTATACCCACAAAAATACATAAGCATGTTAATTTTATAAATATACATACAAAATATCAAGATATAGAATTGAAAATTCAATTATAATTTATAATGCTTGTAAAATAATTCAATTTTTCTTCTGTTAAGCCACAAAAATAAAAAAAAAAACAATGTAAAATTAATATATTAATTGCTCTGTTTAAAATATTTGCAAAAATTTTAATATATTATCAAAATATTTGTTTGGTTGTTTTGATTACCAAATGAAACACTCAAAATAATTTTTTATTGTATACAATGATTTATTATTGAATTCAAATTTAATACATTTATTACAAACCTGATCAACTTGAAAGCTTTTTTCCTATTTCAAAAAATATTAAAAGAATTATACTTTTGACCAACTAAAATACAAAAAAAATCTAATTTTTACTAAAAATTTCCCTCAGTATGAACAACTAGAGCATTTTTATACTAAAAATGTGTCTTCAAACACTAAAATAAAAAAACATTCTTGTAAAATCAATCATTTAAGAATCTAAAGTAATAACCATGAAAACAAAAAACTGAAACTGACATTTTTATTCAAAAATGCTGTTTTGAAAGGATTAAATTATATAAACAATATTTTCAAAATATAAACTTTTTGCAATAAACAGTGTTAACTGAAATATACCTATACAAGTATACATGTAATCACAGGCCCAAAAGATCATACATTTACATGTTTTTACTAAATGAACAAAATAATTATTAGATCAGCTACAAATTTAAATTATGAAAATCCAAATATAAAATTGTATTTTTGCATATAATTTCATATTTCTAAATTTTTTTTTATTTATTTGCATATTTTTCAAATCTTTCATTGTTAACTGCAAATTATTTAAATATTATGTAATTTTTAAAATAAATTACTTATTATATTATATAAGACCTAATGATAAATAAAATATAAAATATATTTATATGCTTAATAGCATGGTGCCTATCAGTCTTTGATAGTAAATTGTAATGTTAAAAAAGCATAATCATTTAATGAGTTTTTTTTTATTATTTTATAGTTTTATTTTTAAATTTCTAGTTTTATTTTTAAATGTTCCCATAGTAAAATCATAGTTTTATTTATCAATTTACAAAATTGAAGCATTAAAAGTTTTTTTACTCATATTATATTTAAAAGAAAAACTAAAAACATATGTCATTGTTTTTAAGCACATGAAAACATACTTACATGGTAGTTTTTAGTAAATTAACTTCCAGGTCTTAATAGTCATCTAGTATACTTGCTAACTATTTTTTTCTCAATTTTTTTGAATTTAGCTTAAAAAAAAATAATAATTTAAATCGGTACATTCAAAGTTTAAAAGAATACAAAAATCACTCATAAAGATATGATAGCTGTCTTTTTAATATCTTACATAATTAATTAATGACTAATTATATACATGATCTATGTATAAACTATGTTATATTTAACTTGATAGTGTGACCAGTATGTAATTGTAGTTTCAATAATATGTATTATTAAATGACAAAATTAAGTCAGTGATTTCATATTTTTATTTATCAAATGCTCAGTGAATTTATGACATGAACTTAATCAAAAAAAAAACAAAAAAAAAACAAATATACATGCATGACAATAATATAAAATGTAAATTTACACAAATTTTAAAATAATATTTACAACATTGTCTAAAATTATAATGTACATGATATGTATGAAATGATATCATATTTAAAAATAATTAAGTATCGTTTTATATAAGTTATAATATGCATTTAAAATACAAGTTTTTTTAAGATCAGTTGTTTCTGTAAACAAGCAACAACAAAAAAAAATAAAAATAGATCTCATTCAAATAAATAGTTGCATAATTTCACTAGAATGTACAGACTAGAAGTTACTTATATGCATATTTTACGCATCATTATGATTCAATAATTAATTATTACAAATATTGAAATTACCCTGTTTAAAAAAAATAAAAAAAATATTACAATGATATGGCAAAGAAGATAATATTAAATGAGTAATAATGATATTCCATAATACAGTACCTATGATAAATAATATTTTATTTTCAACAAAATTTTTAAGTTTGTCATACCACTGAAACCACAACCAATATACCTAAATTAAAGTAGTTAAAAATTAACAATTATTATAATATAATTTGACGTTTTTTTGACCAGTAGTAAAAAAAATCTGTTTGTGATGTATTACTAGGGTCAAAATTCAATTCATAAAGAGCTTCTTTCCTCCAAATCTATAACAACAACCATGAGTTAATAAGTATAGATAATATAGTTAATAAATAAAGCCAAGTTTAACTTACATTCACGTCTTCAGGAGATGGATCTGATATAATTTTATTCGAATTAGACAGATCTTGTTTGGTTACTAATCTTATTTTGTATAAGACATACTTGTAAAACATTGCATAGTAATTTGAAGATAAATCTAGTTGAAATGTAATGGCAAATCTACTCATACATTTCTAAAAAATATAATAATATTTAAGTATACAATTTATTTCTAGGTAATAGATTAAATTTATTTTTAGTTTTTTCTTACGTACATTAAGTATTTCAGGTCTCAGGCTTTTTACGTTAAAAGCATTGAAAAGATTTATTGAATGAAACAAGGTACAACCATACGAATCCATATTGCTGATGGGTACAACATTATTTAGTTTTCTTAAATAATAATCTATTAAAAGCAAACAAATAAAAATGATGTAATTAACTTCAATTTCATAAAAGGCTAGGCATTAATAAATGAATATGTTTAAAGTATATTAGTGTAGTATATAAGTGCATTTAAATGTTAAATTTGACAAATTACTTTATTATTATTACAAATTAGTTACACAGAAGTCCACAGAAAACAAGTAAACCAAAATACATTTAAATTAAATTATTCATTTTTTTTTAGATTTAACCTGGGTAAAATAAAATTGACGACATATTTTATCCAGCTTTGAATTTACATTTGTATAAATTAGCTAATAAGGAATAATTTGTCAAAAAAGTTATATGTTCGATATTATAATTTTTTAAAATCTGTAGAGTGTAAAAACCGAGTTCTATTTAATATACTTTTTTGCGTGAAATTAATTAAAAGTATGTAGATGTGGCCACTCTAATTCTAAATCTCGGTGACATTTTTAATCCCAGTCCCTTGAATTAATAATACATACAATTTTATTATTTTATTGAACAATAGGATAAAATTGAAGGTTGGTTATCTTTGAAATTAATCTAATCAAACTACCTTAAATTCTACTTTCCTAAACCTGGTATTAAATTAAACTTTACAAAACAATACAAAATATTTGTAATACTCACCTAACATTTGATTTTCATTGTTGGATACTTCCGAATTACAGCCATCCATATTACTAATTAAATTTACTAAGGCTGTTAATGTATTTGTATCAAACAGTACACCTGCATTGATATTTAATATACCATTGATGTATTGCCCAGCATAATAATTATGTTTGTGTTTATTGACATTCAAAAATGATATTAAGTGTAATAAGTTTTCATAAATTAACCATACATTATCCTTGGCCAAAAATATCCAATCATATTTAAAGTTATGTGAATTATATTGGTTATGTAAATACATTATAGTCTGACAGAAATATTTCCATGGTTGTGATGAATAAGTATCAGTTACAACTTGCCCAATATATTTGTGCTTTTGTTTACTCACATATATTTTGTTGTTGCCGCATTTATCAAGCCAAACATTGTGTTGCATAAGTAATGAGTCTATATTATTAATGAATATGAGACACAAAAGCGTTGTATTACGATTTATAGTTGATTTTGTTAAATCCACTAGATGATAGTGGTGATGATAATTCATCTTTAATTGACTGTTAAACATTTTAACAGGAACTGGTGTTAACTTTGTGTTGTCTTCATAATTCAATAGCAAATAATAAGTATAAACTGATATAATGCCAATAACAAAGCCCATTAATAAAGGCATTGGCAATGCACATATTTTTGACTTATTACCATTTGCGCTTCTAAACACCATAGCTGCAGTTAAGATTTATGAATATATTATGATATACATTAATTTTGAGGCCTCGTCAATTTTTTTTCGAGTGTTTTTCATACATTCTTGGTAAATTACAATTTATTAAAACCATTTCAAATTACTAAATAGAATTTACATGTAAATAAGAAGTTAGATTTTTTTTACCTGCATTTCTACTTTTAACTTTGAGACTATCATTTTTACTTCCTAACGGCTAACAATAAAGTTGCACTTGTACAACTACAACAGAGTAGTAGTCAGTAGACAATAGTGAATAATGAGCAATGAGCATACAATTTCATATTAAAATTTAAAACTTCGTACAGACGTACAGTTCGTATGATAACTCCCGTACATTTGCTACTTATCATTTCTGATAAGACAGGAAACCACACTGCTGAATAAGTTATTGCCTATGCATATCTCAAAAGGGGTTTTATTAAACGTGTAGTTTTTAGATATTATTCAAGATTTGAGTTTAATAATTATTAATATTGAGATTATACTATTAAATAATTTAAACATCAATTTATCAGTAATATTAAAATAAATTATTGAATTATTTAATAAGTATCTATTATGCATATTATTATGTAGCTACTTAATTTTAAAAATAATATTAAAACAACTTTTAGTGATTATTTTTTAGGAAAAAAATATAAACAATTTCTAATCTTGTCGTTGCCGCCTGTGTTCTTTATGATAGTCTATTTTTTTTAGTCTTAAATTATTATTATTACTGTAAGTATAGTTCAATAATTATTGTATGCTGTTAAAAAAAAAAAATACTGTGCTCCTAATCTAAAATATATATGCTACAAAATATACCTAAAATACTAATCAGTGTTTATTTTAAGCACATGTTTTTTTTTTAATTTTAATTAAATATAGATTCTTTAGCTTGATTTTTAATTTTTAATAATTGTTAAACTTTTACAATACCAATGTGATTTTGTATATTACCTAGATGGCTAGGTAATTAATCATAAGTATTATTTATGAATATTTAGGTAATTAAATATTATATTATTGGACGTTTTAAAATTATGTAATCATAAATAATTGAAATTAAATAAAAACCAAATAGGTATGCATTCAATCACTTTCATTGAAAATGCCGTGTGGGAAATATTGTATTTTAGATATTTTTTTTCCACAATTTCAATGAAAATAATTTAACTATAAGGTTAATCTAAAAACCTTTTACTTTGATACTTATCATCTTATTCGTGATATGGGAATGAATTATGAAAGAGTAATTATGCAAATTACCACAAAAGACATAGTAGATAAAAATCAACCCTAGGAATGTATTATGTACCAACTAATTATTATAATTTATAATAGGTAGGTATTTAAGTTTCTACATAAAAAAATAAATTATGTCATCTATTATTATGAAATTATATTTCACAATTGGCGTAACAAAATTTACACGGTAATTATTATTATCTATGTACATCCACGATCCACGTACATTTCCTATTCCTATGTATTTGTCTTAATTTTTTGTATACAATTTATATTTAATATAAACTCTACATTGTTATTAACAAAAATTATATACTAATCATTTTTTTTTTTAGAATATATTAATATACCACATGAAATGTAATTATGTATGTCTAGCTAAAAAATATGAATAAATCCAAAAAAAAATATTCAAAATGTATCTCTATTGAGAAATATGGATCCAGATTTCAGAAACTTTCATATAGCAAAATTACTTTGTATATTGATGAGTATAGCGTAAGGTACTGTACACCACTACAGCATTTAACTATATTATGTTTGCTTGACGTCTAGGTTTTTCATACAATCGTTAATTTTGTCCCTGTTGTAAATTAATCAAAGTCGAGAGAAAAAAATAATAAATCATGGATTGCAATAATTAAATAGTACACATAAAAATCTAGTAGGTAATGTTTGATAATACTATACTTATATACCATACAAATTAAATGTTATATAAATTAAAATTTAATTAAGATTTTGAATAAACTGAGCAGCAAAACAAAAACGTTTTTAAATATGTTCCCAACTATTCGTTTAATGCCTAAAAAGTAAACCGGCTAAGCCATTGTCAAACTATTAATTAATCGAAAAAGATGCGGGTTTAAAGCTGTGTTGTATTTAGACATGTAGTACCAAATACCAATATAAAACATTTAATAAAAGAAATTATAAACATTCACAATATGAATATCACAGTATACACTATACAACCATCGTCATAGTTAATATCGTTCACTACGTCTGAGTGGGACTGTATCTTTTGGGAGTGAGACACAGCACACGTTCATAATGTTCATAATATGTGATTCGTCCATGGTCCATCCAATACCATTTAAATATCACACAACCCGATTGAACTTGAAATCTATTCAGGTTTTTTTGTTCATGTTGCAGAGTAGTCCATAAATTTTACTATTATGGATTTTGGAATTTTTCCAGCCATGTTCCCGAAATTGTCTACCTCCATTAGAACGTAAACAGTGCTGCGGTGCTGGCGCGTGCGTCCGATCCGATCATCATCATTGCCGTCTATCTTATCTCTTCTGTCCATTGGTCGCGTCAACCGCTACTCGACATGATAGATATTAGATAATAATAATGTCAATAATATTAAAATTTAAAACAATAATTGCCAATCATCAAGATAAAAACAATTGTCCACATTGCCTTGTATAACACTCAGTAATTCCTAATGGCTAATACCTTTGTGCCTAAACAGAACGAGATCCCTCCTTCGATTTAAACTGCTGTACATCGAGTTTTTATTCTTTTTATTATCATTTATCACTGCAAACAGTACAAACGCCATAACAACATTCGCGCGCGCATACGCACACGCACACGCACTCACCCAAACTACTACTTTACACACACACGCACGCACACATACACACACACTGCGCGTGCACTGTACGCAAACACGCGTACACACTGACACATACACTCACACAAATTACAAACGTTGTGAACACACAATACTTCACTAATAATAATTAATAATTATTATTTATTTATAATAATTATTATTATTATTGTCGTTTTGGATTTATCGCGTTGACCACCGACCCATTACGAGGTCGGACAGCAGACATCACGTTAAATACGAACGACAATTGTGTTTTCATTTTCATCAAAAACGTGATCCGCTGTGTACGTTACCGCGCAGCCACCCGGCATTCTGCTCAACACCAATCAAGCAACTAAGTAAGTAGTATTTTTCCTTATGCGCTGGTCGTTCGTCATCTAGTGGCCCACTAATCTCTATGGCGATGGCAATTCCTACCTAATGTTTTGAGTTATCGTCGATGTTTTAAAATTAGGTACTTAATCGTTCTCGGCCATCTTAACCGTTTCTTTATCAGCCCTCCTTCGATTCTCGCTAAAAAACGACAAGATTTGTTAACTTTTATTATTAACCTACTCTCCTTTTGTTTTGTTTTATTGTAGAATACATTCCTTTGGCTGTTGGTCACTTATTTTTGATCTTTGTGTCTCTAGTATCTCTCAATTTCAAATAATGGCTACCAATGTACTGCAAACCAACAACACTGGCAAAATTAATAACAAACGCTTGGCATTGGTACAAATTGTAAAAATTGATCTGAATGCTGGAAACAACCCCGAAACCCAGGATGATGGTATTGTATACTCACCCGCTTACATTTCCACTACCAATACTTGTGTCTTGAATAGTGGAACATCATCTCAGGGGATACAATTTCAATTATTGGGTAAGTTAATAATTTGTTAAATTATAGGAGATGATGAAAATATTTAATTTTATATTTGTTTAAAATTGATATACCTATCAATATTTATGTCAGTATAATTCTTAATCTCTTATAATTAATATGCTAAAATCTTCATAGGTTAATAGAGTTTATCTTTTTTTTAAATTTTAAAAAGATTCATGTACTTAAGGTGGAATAAAATTAAAAATAAATAATCTAGGCACCTATTTTTTTATTTTTTGTTTATTTAGCAAATTTATTTTAAAAATCTTTTAAATCTTTAAATATCTCATAACTAAGGTTTTGAAAATAAAATATTTTAACAGTTTGGAGAATATGTGCTACAAGGTTAATTACACATTTATATAGATAAGAACTAAAATAGATCCATAAAAAGTTGTGACATTTTTCAATTTTTTCTTTTAGTAAATTGCTTTGTTAACAGTTAGGTACCCTCTTATATTTATTGGTATCTTTCATTTGTATTAAGAGGATGTCGCACCCACATGTATTGTCTCCATCTTAAACATGACAACATAGTAAATTAGCGTTCATCAGTTTCAATAGTGTGCTTTTAGTTTTGATATTAAAATAAATTGACCTATTATCAAACTTTTAGGTAAGATTATTATCTGTGTTAGTCATTGGTTTTTTACGATATTTTAATTTTTAAGTGAGTTATGAGTAAAGACCAGAATTTTATGTGTTTGCATGTTCATACTGAGTATAGCACTTATACGAGGGTTTGAAATGTGGGCGATTCAGAGACAACTAATTCCATAGACCAAATTTAATTTTGCATATTACAGCATATTTGAAAGGTTGGAACATATTTTTACATAAGTGCATATAATGTGCATATTTTTTATAATCTTAATAAATAATCAAATTATTTCATGTCTTTATTTTGAAAATTATAATTTTTTAAATATATTACTGTCATTACAGTATAGAATTTTATCTTTTCTAGTTCGATACTATGTTGATAAACTATTATCTAACAAATTAAATTACTTTTAAAGTTACTTCTTAAAGTTGTATAAAAATTTAGCATTCATTTATTGGCAACACCATAAATTTTGTTATATTTTATTTTTTTTAACTGTTCTAAAAACATAAAGTTATGTTTTTTTATTTTATTTAAATATTTTATTGATATACTTAGATATTAAAAGGTCCAACACTCCTAATTTTGTTATATTTATTTGTTTTATTTGTTCTAATATTTGTAGTTGTTTAAAATAATATACATTTGTGATGCATATTTGATCATATTTTTCAATTATTTGTGCATATTTTGAACTTTTGGCTTTGCATATTTGCATCATATTTGCCACATTATTAGTGCATATAATTCTGGCCTCTAGTTATGAGTACAAAAACTATAAATATTTAAAAATGCTCAAAATGCTCTTAAAAATCAAAATATTGTAAAAAAAACTAATGAGAAAACATAGAAAATGTTCTTACCTAAAAGTTTGATAATAGGTCAATACACTCTTAATATTAAAAGTAAATGCACATTATTGAAATTGGTAAACGAAAATTTACTATAACGTATGTGAGTAAGACAACATATGCGGGTTTGACATCTTCTTAAGCTTTAAAATGTTTACTAACTAATGTTAAAAATTATTGTTATTTTTAGAAATAAGAATTATTTATTATTATTTTTATTAATTAATTAATTTTTTATTTAATTTTAAATTACTAAAAACTTTTACCTATGTTATCTTAGTATACGTCATTATCTAATAAAAATATAGCCATTTTTTTAAAATTTTTGGTTTAAAATTAAGTATTTTAATTTACTAAGTTTCTTATAACAAATAGTTGGTTTAAATTTTTTCATAAGCATTCCCTGTATTGTTTGTAGTATGCTGCATTTTCTCATTCAATTGTACCCACAAATTTTGATAGAATATATTTCATAATAAAATGAATAAACATAAATAATATTATATATTTAATAGATGCCTAGGTAAAAAGTTTAATATTTGATTTAATTTAATTTTTATGAAATAGTTAAAAAAAATCTTTAAAGGAATCTATGTATAGGTATTGTTTAACTTCAGAAGAGTAAACACATTCATCAAATGTTTGCATTATTTATTTAATAAGATAGTTCATTACTTTTAGTAAACTTTATTACAAGTAAAATGTGTGGATTTATATACATTAAAATGCTTAAATATGCATAAATATATGTTACTCAAAAATTATCTGTATATTTAAATAAGACAATTCTGAGTGGCTAATTTATAATCAACACTAAGCCAAACCTATTAGAGCTATCGATTTAAAATGTTGAGTGTAGATTAATATTATTATAATTCCATAGTACCTACATTTAAAAAGGATTTTCAAAATTTTGATTTTAAGGGGTTAAAAATTGACAATAAATAAATAAATATGAAAATATGACTTAAAAATGACAAAAACAAATCACAAAAAATGATAACCCTAAAAAAATTATGAATATTTGTTAAAAGTTAGTAAAAATACATTATATTATTAAAGCATATTTTATGTTGTCAAAAGTAAAAATAACATCTAGCAATTGCCTTATTCTATTGAATCTTTATATTTACCTAACTCGTATACAACTTGTGTAAAATATTATTTCATAAAATATAAATTTGATGTAGGCAGTCTGTGCAAAACAAAAATTATGCGTGTAAAGATGTTAATTAACAAAATTTAATAATAAATACAATAAATTGAACTAAAATGGAAAATAGGACCTACAAATGAGAAAAAATGACTTTAAAGGTAGAAAAAGGCAAAAAATGCAAAATAAAAATTTATTGTTTAGATTCACATGTTTATGAAACACATTTGTGGTCAGGAGAGCATCGTCTTATAAGGTCCAAAAAAAAAAATAAATACAAATTCGTTAACTTCCGAGCCCTAGTTATGAGCCTCTAGCTCACATTTTTAGGCTCTTTTTCACATGAACAATTTTATGTGGCATGCTCCAGAGTCGGTACGCCTACAAGTTTAGTAATTTTGGTATCAAATTTTAAATACATGAAATATATTTTATAGAAGTTTTATAGTAAAATTGTTGCATAAAATATTATTTTTATTAAAATTTTACAGACAAAGCCGTGAAAACGGGTAAAAAATTAAAGATAAAATATTTATTTATTTATAAATTATAATCATCTAATTTCTGATTCAATATTTTATTTTATTTATATTATGCATAAAGGTGATACCATCAAAGATATCATGCTGTAGGTTTTATCCAGGATGTTAATACCCGAATTAATTTATTTCAATATCATTTAAAATATTATTTTTGAAGTTCTTTAAACATTTTGATTAGCACTAAAAAGTTTTATGTTTTCAATTTACAGTCTTTTTCATGAAAAAAAAGTATAGCATTTAGATGAAAACCATAATTTTTGCACATCCAATGTGCCTTATACCTCACCACATTTAGCCTGGCATTGGTTTTTTAGCTTAGTCTACATGTATGAAATAATACCTTTCTTTTGCGAAACAAACAAAGTATACTTTGAAAAAAATATGCTTAATAGCATATTAATAGTATATCATAATATTAATCACAATAAATATGTAAATGCATACATATTTGTGCTTTATTTGTGTTGTTAATTGTTTTAAAAATTATTAAATTAAATTTACAGCTATCATAAAGTTAAAAAAATGTAAATAGACATTTAGTACGCTTCAGTTTGTGTTTTTTGCCTCTTCTGTGAAGTTCTCTTTTATATGCCATAAATTAATAATAATTGATAAGTAACTACTAATATATAACATAATATTATTATTGATAAAGATATGTAAGTTTACTAAATAAAATTATTAATCCATTTTATTGAAATTATTTTGTAAGTAATTTTATTAAATATACTTAATATAATTCAATAATAATATTCAATTGAATTTAAAACCATATTATTCTAACTTAATCTAGGTTAGATTATATAAAAAAGAAATATGATACTTTTTTTATTAATATTATGTCAAAAAATCACAGTTAAATTATTGCATTAAAAATATAACATAAACTGTCATCATTATAATTTAATCATGCTATTGATCTAAAAGATAAAAATGTACAATTAATTTTACATTACACGTAAATTAGGTGCTGTTTAGCTGTTAAAAAAATCTTTTTTTTTTTTAAATAAATTTTATTTTAAATAATAAAATTTAAAAAAAAATTATATTTATTGACTTATTTAAATTATTAAATACAATTTTCACGAAATCAAAAAATAAGTTGATAAGTCAGTAGATTAGATTAAACTGGTTTAAATAATATTTAAAATTTCCTTTATGATTTTATTTTTTTAAATTATAACTTAACATTTTTTCTAGATGGTAACAATGAGAGTATTATAGAATTTACTCCCAGTTATTCAGTAGACTATTGTAAAGTTTCCAAAGACACATATGCCATACAGTTTAATAATTACACATATATGTTAAAGTTTAAAACACATATAGGTAAAGTACTTTAAATTTTTTTATTAATATTAAAAGCAATTTTATGAATTTTAATTATTACTTGTTTAAATATTTTAAAATTAGATTTATATGAATTTACTGTATTATTGGCTCGTGCTAAAAAAGGAAATGAACTCTCAGTTTTTTCGAATCGAACTGATGAAGCATCAGCGGCACAGTATTTCCAGGTAATATATGATCTAAGAATATTAATTTTTTATGTTTAATATATTTATTTTTGTTTAGTTTTATGGATATCTTTCTCAACAACAAAACATGTTACAAGATTACATACGTACAAGTACCTATCAAAAAGCAGTGCTTATTAATACTATAGACTTTCAAGACAAAATTGTACTAGATGTAGGCGCTGGATCAGGAATATTATCATTTTTTTCTGTTCAAGCTGGTGCTAAAAAAGTTTATGCTGTTGAAGCAAGTTCAATGGCACAACATGCTCAGGTATAGAATATTTAAATTAAAAATTATAATAATAAACTTTATTTATTATTTATTCATTGTTATTATTATTTTATTTTTTTTTATGTATATTTGAAGACTTTGGTGGATTCTAATAATTTAGGAGACAAAATTTTTATTGTTGCTGGTAAAATTGAAGAAATTGATTTACCTGAAAAAGTAGATGTTATTATATCAGAACCAATGGGATATATGCTCTACAATGAACGTATGCTTGAAACTTATTTACATGCTAAAAAGTGGTTAAAACCAGGAGGTAAATTATATTTTAGAATATTTTATATTATTTATTTACTACAGATTATTCAAATCCAAAAATGTAACAAATATTAATTAGAGTTGATAATTCATTAATTACTTTTATTTTATAGATATTAATTAATTATAATTTATAGGAAAAATGTATCCTAGTAAAGGAGATTTGCACATAGCTCCATTTACTGATGATGCCTTATTCATGGAGCAAACAAATAAAGCTAGCTTTTGGTATGTAAAATATATTGTTAAGTACTTAATTTATTGAAACACGTCAAATATATGAATAATTTAAATAAATTAAAATATCTTTGAATTTATATTTTTTTTAATTTATCAATTATTCAAATTTTAATTGTAACTCAATAATATCTTATTTTTTGTACAATTTTGTCAGTAAAAATATAAATTTCAATGTATGAATTCGATTATCAAAAATCTTAATCATATTTCTTCCAAAGTTTAGTGTTTTTAATATTATCTAATTTGTAAATCTAATTTGAAGGGTTCAGTCATGTTTTCATGGAGTTGACTTGAGTTCATTAAGAGATATGGCTATGCGAGAATATTTTCGACAGCCAATAGTTGATACCTTTGATATTCGTATATGCCTTGCAAAGTCTGTCAAACATAGCTTAGATTTTCTCACAGCTACTGAACAACAGTTGCACAAGATTGACATTCCACTTGAATATTATATACTTGAATCTGGAACAGTTCATGGACTAGCTTTTTGGTTTGATGTTGCATTTCAAGGCAGCAGCCAAACTTTATGGCTATCTACTTCACCTACTGAATCTTTAACTCATTGGTATCAAGTCAGATGCCTTCTCGAAAAACCTATTCTTGTTAAAGTTGGTCAAATTTTAACTGGTAGTGTATCACTTCAAGCTAATGTTAGGTTAGTATAATGAAATTGTATAACATACTGTAATTAAATTTTTATTACAGTGTTATTTTATAAATATAATTAATATCATTCTAGACAAAGTTATGATGTTTTCATAAATTTGATGATTGATGGGCTTCCACACACAAGTTCTTCCAACAATTTGGATCTTAAAAACCCATACTTCCGATATACTGGTCAACCACCACAACCTCCTCCTAGTGTGAATACTATATCACCTAGTGAAAGTTATTGGGCAAACTTGGATCTTCAAAGTACTACTTCTGGTATTTTTTATTATAATATTAAGTATCATAGTTTTACTAACAGCGATAAAACTTAATTTAAATAGCTTTAAACATGGTTAATGGCATTCCATTGAACGGTTATGCTACAGACATTTCCATGGATATGCAAACATCTCCAACTGCTGTAGCCAACAATGCAAATCTTATAAATTTAGGTAATCAAACAATTATAATATATATATATATATACAGTCGAATTCGCTTATAACGATGTCGTTTACAACGATATTTCGGGTAAAACGATTCCAAGCAATGTATTTGATTGGTTTTATATCTTATGTGTTGTTACATTTTATAATCCAAATATAACGAAGTTCAGTTATAATAATCAAATTCTTTTGGTCCCTTGAAGATCGTAATAAGCGAATTTGACTGTATGAATAATAACTTTAAGTAATATAAGATGAACTATTAAATATATTTATTTTATGAAATAGTTACTGTACCTCAACCAAATATTCATCCAGGATCTATAAGTAGTACTGGACGACAACGTGTTAGTACAGCTACTTCTACAGCAGGAGCACAACTCATTGGTGGTGGAATATCTCCAACCTTATTTACTTCCAACCAGGTAGATATTAAGTAGTTTTATTGTTGTAAAGCAAATGTTCCAAATGTAATATTAAGTATTAATTGTTGATTTTAAAATAAAAACGTAGAATTGTTGAATTAAAAACCCCGTTTAAAAAAATTTTCAGACATTTTAGTAATTTCGTTTTAATTTATAATTTTTTAATTGATCATCAATTTTTTAGAACCAAAATCAACAACTTTTGTTAGGAGCAGCAACAGCTGCTGCAGGAGGTTCAACCACTGCTATGGGAAATTATCCAGTTAACAACAGTTTAATGATTGGAGACTATGTTGCGCCCAGCACTGGTGTTTTAAATATTTCATATCGTTAACTTATTACATTATGGTTTATTTGTATTACAAAATAAATCTTAAACCGGGACAAATTCAAATCCCTTTTTAAGGAGATTCATTTTTCCTAGCATAAATTTACCATCTACTCAAATATTTGATTTATCTACAATAATTATATTTATAGTTTAAATGTTTTAATACAAACTATTTTTATTTATGATTTTAAACTCAAGTAGGATTATTAATTTTAAAAAGGATATGTATTCCTGTTTCTCATTTTTTTCATAAAAATAATAATATTTTTAGCTATCAATATGATAAACACCCATTGTTTTTATATTTTCATTTGAAATAAACTAATTTAAATCGGTTTTAAATATTAACAGTTCTTAATAACAAATTCTCTTTATTTCAAAATTGTATTTTAAAAGTAATATATATAAATGTACTTTAGCTTCATATATATGATTCAAAATTGTTAAACTAGTTTAGGGCTGATTGTTTGATATTTAAAAATAAAAATAGTTGTATGATACCTAATAATATAATACATGCAAAACAATTGTAAGTATTAATTATTTTATAACTAAAAAATAATAATATTAATACTATTATTAAAATATCGAAAATCATTAAGCTAGAATTTATTACTTTTTGATTTACATATTGTTATTTAATAGTGTATAATAATTTTAACTAAGCCTTTATTGTTAAAGTTGATTAAATGAATCAATAATAATTTGGCAATAACTTTATGTATACTTTTTTTATAATTATTTTTCTTTGTAATGTTTTTTTAATTTGGTAAATATTAATATCTAAGGTGTGCATTATTCTACCTTTACTCTAATTATTTACAAGTGTTTTTAATTCTCTGATGTGATTTAAATATAAAATATCATAGCTTTTTTACAATATACTTTAATATTAATTCATTATTGTGATTCCTATGTATACATAATATACAGTAATATTTTAATTAAGATAGTACAGTTTGTAAAGCTTAATATTAATAAAACGTTCAAATAAATTTATCACAACTAGGTACTAGCTATTTTATATTTTTATTTGATAAAAAAATATTATTTTATATCCTGTGTGTAACTATTATGTATATTATGTAATTAATATCAACTAGGAAATATAGGTTAGTTAATTTGAAAAATTATCAGATTTTAAGTTGATAAGAAGGTATTTTATTGATTAATGTTTAAAAAGGGAGACAAATTATGGAAAAGACTAAATGATTTTTACAAAAAAAAAAAAGTAGGTGAGTGGGAGAACATAATTGGGGTCAAGCTTAATAAATAAAAAATATATACATATATATAAAAGTTGTCTTCAAGTAAAAATATATATAAAAAAAGAAATATATACACTTTGTCATTCCGAAACCTCCCGGATCCCGGATAGGTGCTCAATATATATGTCCCTTAATAAGGAAATAGTATTGCTTACACACAATTTCCTCATCAGGGTGGCGCATAAGATCTGTTGCAGAGCACCTTCATGAATTTGTGAATGAACTAAGGTTCAGTCTCGCCCTATGGACAAAACGCCAATCTGCGAACCTCGTAAGTCGCCGTCTTTAAGTAAGTGGTAGGAAGATGGATGGGCGGCGACACACTCAACGGCTCTGCCTTGATCCGGTTTTTGGATAAGGTCTTCGCTTCGTTTGAGCCGGAGTGTGTTCCTTATCGTCCGCATAACCGCCCTCCTATGCTTTCCTCCTAACGTCCAACCGACGTTAAGTCTTTTGAAGGCGTTCCGCGCCTTCGACCACACGCTGCTCACTCCAGACCCCCTCGCTGTCCGAAAAATGCCTTTATCCTCACCCGACAGATATGACGTGTCTTCCTCGACAGGCGGGTCCTTGAAGATTCTCCGTTTGGTGACGTCATCCACGTGTTCGGCCGCGTCCGCCGCAACACGTGGGTCAGGTGAGGTGTACAACTGAAAGGCGCTGTCCACTGCCGCGATATCGGAGTCTTCTGTGAGCAGCCTGACACCGCAACATCCTCTCTTGGTAGATACATAGATATACTCCCCCGACGCTTCCTGGGGGAGGTAGAGGGTGGCCTTTATCTCGGGTCTTAATATCTTGTTCACTTTTGCCCAGTCCGTCTTCGAAAACGTTCTCATACGCTATAGATGCACCGTGGAGGGATAGAAGAATGTCTTCAGCGCATCCATCCTCTGCCACGGTGCGAGTTTACTTCTATCGATACGGAGCCCAATGTCGATTATCTCCGCGAGAGTTGACAGCGGAGGTACGATGTTGAAACCGTCTTGGGCTCCTAGGAACGTTGCCGCCTCTCCCTCGGCGAGCGAGGAGCCATTGATGTAGAAGTGGGTGTCCCCGACACCCACTGGTCGGCGTACGGACAGATGGAGCGACGCACACTTTGCTGCATTGAGCCTGAGCCCCAGCATGTCCAGGCTATTGTGAGCCGCGTCGATAGACATCTGGAGCTCAACGGGGTTGTCGGCAATCAAAACACCGGTCGTTGGCAAATTCCAAGACCAGGTGGTCGGCTGACGCTCCTTGTAATCGCGTCACTACCGGGTCGATTGCCATGATAAAAAGAAGACCACTCAGTGGACAACCTTGTTTGATCCCGGACATCAACGAGATGTCACGGGTCATTCCTCCGGCTACACTCATCGTCGAAGTAGCATCTATGTAGATGTCCTATATGGCTCGGAGAAAGTCTTGACTGACTCCATTCGACTCGATTGCGGCTTCCAGCGCCAGGTGTGGAATCGCTCCAAAGGCGTTGGACACGTCCAGCCAGGCCACGCACTTGTCCTTTGCGTGGGTCCTGGTTTTCTTTCTATTAGAGTGTGGACGTGTTCAAACGCGCCGTCCGCCGGAAGGAAGCCTTTCTGACAGGGGCTGAGTACTTTGTTGGTGGTGAGCTACTCTGTTAGCCGCCCGGCGAAACATATCACGTACAGCTTAGGTTAGAGGGAGATGGGCCGCCAATTACATAGGTTTTCCTTCGCTCCCTTTTTGTATATGAGCACCGTCACTGCTCTCTTCCATACGGGTGGAACCTTTTTATAGATGAGGCACATGTTGATGACCTCCGCAAGTACTGTGCATTCTGGGTCGAGACGTTTCCAGTGCCGATACGTGAGCGCGTCGTCTCCAGGCGCCATGTTTTCGAATCTGATGAGTCATTTCCACACATCGGCACACTAGAACGGGCCCATCGAAACTGCCGTGTAAATATATTCGCGTCACACGTCGACGGTGCCCATACTGTACAGAAGTGCTCCTCGACCTGTGGTACCGCAACTTCGCACATCTGCCCCTCGCCCGACAGGATTAGCCGCACCGCCCGTCGTCTGTTTATTCTAAAAAATAATTACAATTATCAAGTAGAGATCCAAAACAAACAAAACTTGGTTTTTTTTCAAGACCAACATATTCAAAACCGATAGTACAATCGATCCACAGCTAAAATTAGGACTGCCTCTATCATCATGTCATGACTAAGCAATTTAATTAAATAAGGCTTCAAAAGAATAAAATAATTTAGAGTCAACTATAATAAACCATGAAAATAAATCTTATTCTGAAAATAATTATCTACTCTATTATTTTCTTGACACAGAAAGTATAATTAATAAAATTTCAAAATGCGTTACATTTGCAAAATTATTAAATTTTTAAAAATATTCATTTTAAATATAAGATGTTTATTAATTATTTTCAAACGATGAAAATAAAGCTATAACAAAGAAATAAAATTTATTTTATAAAAAAATAAAGTATATGAAATGCGACGGTGAAAAAATTACATTAAAAAAAACTGAAAAATTATTATTACCAAGTTCAAACCCAGCTAAACATAACAGAAAGAGCTACTGTTATTTTGTTGTGTGAACTCCGAAAGGTAATTTTTATGTAAAATCAAATATATTAAAATTTAAACATGTTTATTTCAGGTTTTATAGTAGACAAAAAATATTAAGATATCGAATTTTGGACTTCAAAAATTAAACCATCGGCATCAACTACAAAATTTTACATGGATTTTTTACTACCTGAATTAATTGACCCAAGATTTGATCGAGGACTACTAACTAGGCCCGGTATATCAGAAAAAAAGGCTTAATTAATGTATATTAATTGTGTAGCAATATTTACATAATATGCATTGACGCATTGATATTTAATATTTTGTTAATTACTTGTTACACACTAATAATAAACATAATTTATACAATAAGTGTTTATAGTAAAATAGTCGTGCGTATATGTATATAAAATTTTGAATTATACTATAAATCAATAGTTTTCAGCCTTTTGGACTTGAGACCCAATTTTTTAGATCTACATTTTTCAGAACAAAATTATGTGTTGTACGAAATGCCAAGTGTGTAATGATCTGTAATAACTAGTAAATGTTTTTACAATTTGTTCTCCATTAATTGAAAAATTATTGTTGGGAAATAGATAAAAATTTAATGTATATATTATTGTATACCATCTAATATCTATGTTATCAATATATAGAATATTTGTTTACTTTCTTATATTATCTATGAATATTGCTATTTTTAAAATTTTTATTGTATTATAAAAACATTGATTAATCTTACAGTATAGTATTATGTATAGTGTATGATAAAATAATCTGTGATTAATCTAATAACTATCAGTTCAAGACAATCTATGAGTCTATGACTTAAGATTTTATTTTAATTAATATTTAATCAATTTGCGTTTATACTTTATTGATTATTGATTATTGGTTCTGAAAAATTAAGAATTACAATATTAAAATATTAATAATACATAAGCAGAGTAGAGCGTTATTCGTATGAAATTTTATTTAGATGGTTATTTAGATGATATTTTATTCGAATAATTTTGTTTGGGTAACCATAGGGTTGGTAATTAAAAACAGGCAAATAGTTGGCATTGTAGGTATTTTAAATTACATGATGATAGAAATATTATAAAATATTATATATAAAACAGATAATAAATCTATAGAAGAAAGTAAAGAATTTGACGTATTTTTTTTAATAATAATTTAGTAATAATTACAACAATTATAAATAGTAGTAAATAGTAATAACAAAAATATAAATAAATATTTTGGCAAAAATGAAAATAAATAAATATAACAAATTTTAAATTTCAATAAATAAAATTATTATTAAATTTTTA